ATTGTGGTTCTCTTGCATTCTATTTTCATCTGTTGGCTATGCAGAAATAACTCCAGCAATAAAGATTTATCTTCCTTTTTGAATTACAACAAAAAACTGATGCAAGTTTGTATTGAGTTTATGACTATTTATTGTGGATTTTTTTAAAATAAATAGAAGAGATGGGGTTTACCTGCTATTCTGATAGCATCACAAAGGGATGAAAAAGAGAAAACTCAGAACCTCCCAGACGCGCTGTAAGTATAGAAGCTATGCCCACTGCCTCTGCTGCAGCCTTCCCAAAGGCTGTAACCCAGCCTGGGCACTGAGGATCAGCCCCAGTGGGAAATTTCCACTGTGCCACTGCATTCAGAAAGGCTTCTTCAGGTCGCACAGGGAGGCCTTTGGCTTAGAAAAAGTTGAAAATACATTCTTTGAAAATAAAATGATCCAAATACCTACATGGAGAACCCTTTTAACGGAGCTGAGTATTAATTACTGTCCGATCCACAAAAATCTTTCTCAAGAACCAAAGAAAGTGGATGCTTTTAAACATCCACTGTGTCGAATGAGGATCACACCTCTAATAAATAACTTAGCATATATACAAACCCTCACATTCTCTGTTGGGCAGAAGATCATGCTGAGTAGTTGCTGTATGACTTAATTATCAGAGCAATTTCATGTGATTGCTCATCTCAGCAGACCAGATATGGGTTTCTAGGATTCTGTGGGCACAGAAGGTGGGAAGAATCTTTCTGGTGTAACACAGGAAGCACTTCTTAGCACTGCAGGAATCTTCAGATAAACTTATTTGAGTTACAACTGTGGACTGGCACTGGCACATCTGGTTTCTGCTAGATGAGGTCTTTTCTACTGTCATAGCCCAGAGGCACACACAGTGCTGTACCACAACCGTAGCAGGGTGCTGGAGTGATGTTAAGAGAGCGTTTGAGTAACAGGAGGTGAGGTGATGGGCTGGAAGAATGAGAGGGGCTGTCAGGAAATCTCTGCAATCATGAGCTGTCTGTGCAGCACCTTGCATGAGGAATTCAGCATCTTGGACCCATGGTAAGGTTGCTGTAAACTGTTCAGTCATTTAATTTGTGAATCAATATCTGGATAGTGCCTCTGCCACATAATAAAACAATATTCTTTAATTTTAATTTTAATAAAAACTTTGGACAGGTTTCTCCATAAAAATCCCAATTTCCCTTCATCTCATTTTGTTTTCCACTTTTTCCCTTATGGACACAAAAAAAGCAAGAAGCAATCTCACAGACTAGCAAGAGACACACGGTGTAAAATGCCTGATAAGTGGAATCTGATCGGTTTGCTGTTTTTACCAGGATTCAGACCAGTGCAAAACAGATGAAGAAATCAGCTGCTGTGCTGGGAGCCCTCCCAGAAGAAAGCAGAACTCAGAGGAGTTCTCTCCCTAACAGAAGGAACTGATTTCACGCAGTAAAAACTTGGGATGTTATATCATTTTAAAAGCACAGCTTTTCTGATTTTAATCTAGATGGATGGCACTTTACATGATTGCAGCTTTGGTGAAGAGGAAGATTAACATTTCTGCAATTGTTTTCGTGATCTCTATTATGCTATTTTTTGATTCTGTAATCTTAAAAAGCACGGTGGCATCAGAAAAGCTGTGTCAGCCCCACATCCCCTACCAAGAGTACTTAACGAGCCCTGATTCCCGATCCCATCACCAAGGTGTGGAGTTAACCTAGGACAGCCCAAAGCACATCACAGGTCATCTCTGCTTGTGTCCAGGGTGACCCACGCTCAGGCGCTGTATTTAGCACTGCTGAGCCATGCTCCTGATGCACGATGTTTCTAAATCACTAGATAAGGCAGTTTGTAGTCTTTCATCTACACCCTCATACCAGCACTGGGGTGGTTCTCACCAAAACATCTCACCATAGCTATCAATTATGTTTTAAATAATTGTAAATAATTATTTTCTGGAAGAATACAGTTCTACAAACACTAGGACTGTATCACAGGAGACAGTGTTACATGCTCCTGGAGCTGCCAGCAGGCTGAAAGAAGCCCCAGTACAGGTAACCACCAAACCACTTTATAACTAGAAATTTTTCTCATTATGGACAAAGAATGAAGTAAAACTGAGACTCGTTCCTAGGAAGGATACAGCTGTAAGAAACTGAATAACACATTGATGATGTTAGTCTTTCCCTGCAGAGCTGAAGTTTCTTTGATAATGTCCACATCCGAAATCTGAAATCTCTGCCCACCTGCCTCCAAGAGATGACCCCGCTTTTGAACACAGACTATCCCATCCCTTCCAAGGCAGTGTGTGAATGGCAGTCACCCTGATAGAGAGGAATGCTGGATGCCTTTCTTCCCAGCTTCAGTCACTGCTGGGTTTGAAGCTGCCTCAGGAATGATACAGAGTGCTGCTGCTGATGTTCTTGTTCTCTTACTCCAGTGCAGAGCTCAGCAAGCTGCCTGCATTGCCGTTCCCATGTGGCCTCGATGAGGAGCTGGATGCTTCTTTCTATTTAAAAATTTCAACTTTGATTAACTTTAAACATACTTGAACTGAGATGCTTGTGTGGGTTCTCAGTAAAATAGCGTGTTATTGACAACTGCCCACAGGAGACCTGCTTCAAGAGCTCCTGTCTCTGGATGATTTGTGCATCACTTATGGGGAGCTCCCACTTAATAAATCCTGACATTAAATGTTTTGTCTTGGCAAATGTGATTTACTGTGAAGCTCCTGCAATGGCTCAGAAAATACTTTAACTCTTCAGTCTCTGTAATCCTTTCAAGGCCATAAAGTAACTTTAAAGGAATGAGGAGTGCATAGGGAAGAGAATGGGGGAACTGCTTGGTGCCCTTGTGAGACTGAAGCTCTTCACTTCATCAGGCTCTTTAACTAGAGATTTGAGCTTTGTCTTTGTAAATTTGTGTGTGCTTCATTGTGTATGCTTGCATACGTCACTTGCCAAATTCAGATTAGAAGGTATCTATAATCCTGATTTATACATTGTAGGTACCAGATTGTAAATAAAATTCCACACTAGGCACACAGTAAGAACATGAGAATGCTTCCACTACTGATTTAGCTCAGCACCTGGATGCCAGTTGCTGCTGATAGCATATACCAAGGAAAGATTATGGGAACAGGTGCAAGCTTAACGTGCAGGTACTGTGATGTGCTCTCCTGCCTTTCAGCATACTGCAGTTTTGAAATTTCTTGACCCAGGGAGGTTTTTCCATGCAGTTTAAAGGCCTTTGAGGTTTTTTTTTTGCATTGCTTTTTGCTATTTAGCCATTCATAGTTTTGTGGCCTAGTCATACCATGAAGGAAAAAAACCAAACATGTATTTCTTGTACATTCTGAATCCGTCATCTCCTGCTTCAGGAATTAGGGGTCATTATTGCGACTGAGAATAATAGTTAGAAGCAATTTCCTATTTACCTACATGCTTCTCCTGATTTCAAATCCTTTTTTTTTGTGAAAAGTTTTTTTCATTCTAGAAGCTCATTTGTTTATTCTTTACACTGGGGCCATTCCACAGCTCTGAATATGCCTCTCACATGTCTATGTCCTTTTCAGACTGGAACTATCTATAGCCTGAAAGCTCAAATGATAAAACACCTCAACAACTACAGATTCTTAGGAATGATTCTGAAGAAGAAAAAACTGCAATAAAATCTCTTTCTTGGTTTGTCGTTTTTCTAGAAGCTTTATGGTGTGTCTTTAAACTCCAGTAATTATAAGGCTGATATTTTTTAACAGCACTCAAAGATACACTGCATTAAGCGACCCATCAGTGTTGCTCCCCACCCTCACCTGCAGATAGCAGCTGTGTAGTAGTAGTAGCTCCAGAAGAGCTGGGATTCATCTCACCAGCATTTGATATCTATTTCTACAAGTCCATTTCTGATCTGGTCACTCAGTAACTCTGTAGAGACAATAGGAGAAAACAGAAACTATCAGGAAGATCTCACAACACAGTGAGATTCCTTCATTTAGACAGATTAAAGTATGCAACTCTCTCCACTTAGTCTGGCTGAGTAACCCAGATCCTTTTGTCTGAATTGGGTAAGCCTTGCCTTATTTCTTGTGTCCTTAAATGCCTGTGAAATGTTCTAGTCTCAGTTCCTATGGCTATACAGCAGTGACACATTGTACTGTAGTGTCTTGTCTGCCTGTTCTGGTCTTTTGCTCACAACCACTTACAGAAAAAGAAAGAAAAAAAAAGTTTTCCATATATTCATTCCTTTGTATGATGAGAACCAGTGTATATTCTTTAGACCATTTATTCCATATAACATACATGTAACACAATATTATACAAATTATAGCAATACTTTGCACAGTGCTATCCATCTGTCTCTCTCAAGGCTGACTGTGAACTTCCCCTCTGTCATTTCTAACAGTAAAGAAACTTGGTTTAAAGTGCCCTCTGATAATGGAGGGAGTACTAGCACTGCTTCAATTCTCATTCATGTGGAGAGAAATTATTTCTAAATTCTTGGCCAACCCTAATCTGGAGATCAGTATCCAAATTAGGAGACTTTTATTTTGTTTCTACAGGAGCTGAAAAGCCCAGGTTCTCTCCATGACAAACGACTGAATGATTTAGTGAAGTTCTTTTCTTCCATCTATTAATTTTCTTCACCACGTTTTGTTTCAGCCATTGCCTCTAGTCCAGGAGCCATCTGTAACTCTTGCGAATGACAAGTGAATTCCCAAAGAATGAATACAAAAGGGTTTATTCACTACAGATTTTTCATTCACATGCATTTCACATACTGACTTAAATTGTGACTCGTAATTTGGCTGATGCTTCTATTAACTTCTGTATGGGAACTGCTGAATCACGGCCTGAACCTCTGCTGGACCACCTGAGGCGAGCACTGAGTCAGCCATGGGAACACAGGTGAAGGCAATTCAGCTGTGCTGCCGGAAGAGGTGGAGCCTGGCTGTGCCTCTCTTAGGGCCATTTAAGAGCTGACTGCTACTGAGGAAGGATCTCATACAGATCACTTCTTGTGGAGCATATTGTAAGCCTACAGCATTGGTAAGCGTTTTCCATTTATTATCTACCTGTTGCAATAATCTTACTTGGTTTAACTTTGTATAGTTCTTAATTATAATGTCTGTATATTCACTGATTATACATCAATTATATATTATTACCTCTTCACATTACATCAGTAAATTACTTTAATTAATAAAGATAATGGGCTATGAGAAAGAAAGAACAATAAGAAGAAAAAAAAAGTAATGTAATACTAATGCTAAAACAAAGATGATACCTGACAGTATGTCTTCTGATTGTCAGGCTAATGAACGATGTGTGCATTGTGAAGGTCAGATAAGGCCTCTGGTTACAGAAGATTCAATACAAAAGCCTGGAGCAATTTACGTTTTTCTTGTGCTTCTGATTTCCTAATAGATCTGCTGAAGAGGCAATTTGACAAACAAAAATGCTCAGGGCTTTTTGTCCTCAGTTGTCAACTGCTTTTTGTTTGGTAAAAGCCCAGTGGAAATAAAGGGCTTTAAGTAGTCGTTTTGTTAACACAGAATTTGGATTTAATACGTATGCGTCTGTACCCAGTGGTGCTTTTTGCACTGCTCTTTGTAAATTGGAAGTTCCTGATGTGAGGAATATGCAAAAGGCACATGGGAGCTCATCCACGTTCTTCTATTGTTTATGCTTTTTAAAAGAAACTCCTCTTGAGCAGTCGATAAGAGGAACACAATGTGAAAAGGTTTTTTAAAACAAAGAAGCAGATGACTTGAAGTATTCTTACTTGCACTTTTTCTAATGAACTTCATTTGAGTGTATACGTAAATGCATCTATTTTAAGTTTATCTAAAAGTGTAATTAGAGCTATCAACATGGGAGGGAAAAAATCTCATCTAATATCTCCATGAACAGTATTTAAATCAGTGGTTTTGCAGACTTCTAAGTAGGAAGGCAATAATGTGGTGTTTTTCTTTTCTTTTTTTTTTTTTTTTTAAGGTGACTTAATTCATGCAGAAAATAAGGGTATGTAAGAGCTGGTCTATCAATTGAGAATAGTGGTTTACTCATACTTTACTCCTGAGGCAAATGAAAAAAGCTGGCACAAAACCCCAGATAACTATGGATTCTGTTGGGGCTGGGATGTTTGCTGTGGAGTTGGGTTGGTTTTTATGCTTTTGTTTGTTGTGTTTGTTTTTTTTTTGTGCATGCTGTTGATCTTTTAGAATAACCAACTGCCAGTGAAATAACAACTTCTTTACTTCAGTGGCATCCAGGAAAGCATTCAGAAGCATGAGACAAAACGTAGAGAGTCTGCAGACTAAAGGCAAGCAACAAGCAGTGGATGGACCAAAGATAGTTCCCTCTGGACATAGCATACAGCAACTAAGATTCATGTTCAAAGGGTTCCATGTTACAGTTTCAAACAACAGCTTACCCGCTGTGGAAAAAAATACTGCAGAGACATGCTTTATGTGGACTTGGTGTGTGCAGAACGGTTTGATTTTGTCCACTTAAAATTATTGGATTTTGTTCTGTAATGCAAATATCCAACCCATCAGGACAGACTCTGTCTTTGGCATCTGGATCCTCATTCAGGTTGACATATAAAACTTTGTCTGGACTGAAAGAGGACAGTGGCTATGTTTTTAATTCCAGTAGGCCTTATCTGGGCAGCAAGATGTGAGATCCTGGTGAATGAGCTGACTTGGGGGGAATCTGCAATGCTTCCCAGGCTTTATGGGCACAGAAACTTGCAGTGGACAGAAGTGTCTAAAGAGAGATCTTGTCCTTGAAGTGTGAAGCCCATCATTATAAATGAAACTGGTACTAGGCAAGAATATTTTTCCAATCCAGGTTAGCCAAAAAAGTAGGTATTAGAAGGGCAATGCTGATCTCTACTAGGCGAGTGAGGTACCTTCTAGTTGTTGCTGTAATTGACCTTTAACATAGAAAAAAAGACTTGAAAATGGTAACTGGAAAAAAAGAAAAATTGCATAATTAAATCAAGCTATCAAATTGATTTACAAAAGAAGAAAACCCACAAAGCTATTAAAATCGCTTCCTGAAGGATAGGGTTTGTGATAATTTGCAATTCTGACCTTGTTTCTTCTGGGATTGCTAATGATTCATTACTATGTTTTCCAGGGGAACTGAATTTTGCAAGAATAATAGCTGAAACTGGCCTTCAGACCTGCTAGCTGTAGTACTGGAAGAAGATTGTGACCTTGAGTCAAGTCAATGGATGGTAAATACATTGTGCTTAAAAAACTGCTGGAGAACATCAAGGAGAGAAGAAAACTGACCCAGTGTCTAAATCTCTAGTTCTGGTCTCTCTTGAACAGTAGCTCATTATACCTACCTGAAAAGTGAGCACCAGGATTTATTCTTACTAAAGTGTCCTAATTTTTAAGCTTTTTTTTTTTTTTTGTGATGCCAATTTCTGTCTTTTTTTCTGATCATGCTGTAAAACCTCCAACTCACTCCTCCCACCTTCATATCTCCAACCATTTAATTAACATTCTCCCTTTCCATCCTTCTGCAGATAATAAGCACAAGCTGTGAAATATCCCCCTTGATTATCAGAGCAGACTAGCAGTTTCCAGCCTGTTTTACACCTCAGCCTATTGTTGTATTCAGAAACTTATTTTCAAAGCTTGCATAGAGTAAGAGCACTCTATGAAGTAGTGTTAAAGCCTTGTTTCAGGTACAGACAGGGTATCTTCTGCTTCTCTCTCATTTGCAAAGCTGCAGGAAGAAATGTGAAAGGTCTGACATTGGTTCTTGCTGAGTCCATGTAGCCACCCCTCAGCTTTTCCTCAGCTCCCATCGTTCTTCCTCTTGCTCTGGTTCCTGGGCTCTCACCTCTGCAGGCCTTCTGCTCAGGTCCCTTCCTCCAACAGAACTCTTTGCTTTCTATGGGATGCTTTTCTATCTGTTCAGAAAACTCATTTAAAGGCTTTCATTCTTTGTGTTCCACTGCTCGTGTTCCTTCCTCAGTATTCTTCTCATTGCTGTGCCTATGTTCTCCCCTATGCCCCTCAGACCACCCTATGGCTTTTCCTCTTTTTTTCTCTTCTTCCTAGACCCCCACTGCCATTTCTATCATTCCTTCTCTTCTTGCTAATTCAAATCAACAAACAAAAAATGCCTTTCACCCCAACTGCATGAGATTATCCTCTGCCATTGAAAGCTGACAGATAGAAACTGTTTAAATATCTTTGTGGCTTTTGAAAGTGAAAAGGAAAAGATTAAGCTGCATTTACTGCTTTAATTTGGAACTCATGAGCACTACCATAATGCAGGATTAGGTTCACACAGTTATTTTTTAAAGTGCATAACAATGTTCCTATTTGCTCATCTAACAGATCATAGCAATGCAGTCATAACTTTTTACAGATGACAATGATCCTTAGGCAGAAGCCTTCAAAATAAAGCCTTTCTGAGTTTCCAGCTCTTATATAGTAATTATGTCTTGTACTACATATACAATGGAAATGGATGAATTCGGTCCAAAGAAACAGATCTTTTCAAAGGAAATCAGAGCAAGGGAAAGCGGCTCTGCGATCTCAGAGTTCACAAAGAAAGCAGCTGATCCTGCCTACACAGTGGGAATTTCTTTTAAAAAGAAAAGTCTAATTACAGCTGGCACTTTGGAGCCAAATAATTCTACTTTGCTGAAAAGTGACATGATTCTTCTGACACTGCAAGCATGGGGCACGGTGTGCAGTAGTCCCCATTCTCTCACTTCTCATTCAAATTAAATACAATGTTACAGGATTTTTTTTTTAATTTTTAATGTCAGAATTTCCTTCTAGAGTGTTGTGCAGGGGAGAGGGCCTAAAGAACAATCAGGCCAGCCAAACTGATGGAAAATGAAGATCTTGTTTAATCCTTTCATAATGGTAATAAACTTAGCATTAGTATTTATGCTTCAAAAGTATCATTTGAAGAATTTGCAAATGTTAATTTTAAAATCTAACAGACAACATCAGAAGGTAAATCCACTTAAAGAAATCATATCCTCTGAAAGTGAATGTCATTCTCCCTACTTGCAACAGCACTCACTTTAGTGTTTCCTATAACACTTCAGTGTCACTCCAATTGGTGCTGGGGTCAGAAGTATGACTGAGAAAGCAGGCCATAGCGGTGTTATCTGGGAGGAAGGGTCCTTGCAGGTGAGAAACATGGCACCTCTGCAGATCGCTGGGGTGGTTATCAGCTGAGGGCTGTCTGTATGGCCCCAGCCTTTGGACAGAGAGCTGGAGTACCAGACAAGAAATATGAGAGTAACAAAACCTGTAATGTATGCAAAGAGCAGACCGAGGGATGTTACTCTGTAGTTCTGCCTACTTTCTAGCAACCCAGAATATGGAGGTAAACCTCCTGGTGCTCCTGAATTCCCTACTTGGGTTTGGATTCTCACCAAACACCAGCTTCCATTTTGCACTGACTGTTGCTTCTCAGCTGCAAACGTCCTGAATGGCAGAATCAGCCTATATCTGCAACTGGGCTGCTTCTGAGCTGTCTGAAAAGCAATCAGAGGTACATTGTTTGCGAAAGTCCGAGCTTTAAAATATCTTTTTGCTCCTTGACAGTCAGACAAACAGCTGCACAACATTAACACAAGAGAATTGCAAAAGTTTATGTTCTTTCAGGCTGATAATAACAAAAAATCAGTTTCTTCCCTGTCTGCCAGATTTATCCATCATGAATGACAAAGTGAAAGAGCATGAAGGAAAAAAAAGGGAGGGAGAAAGAGAAGGCAAATTGTCTTCCCTCAGTGTACACAGCTCAACCAAAGCATTTTGCAATGTGGCTCACTGCCAGCACTGGAGGTGCTTGCTCCAGGCAGCGTAGCCCCTGCCATGGAGAGGGGGCATTTCTAGGAGGCAGTTATAGATACTCACAAGCCCTATGCTCTATTTCAATTCAAATGTTGTATATAAGGCCATCAGACCGGTCTATAGAATGATCAATCCTCTTGCTGAAAGGGAACACGTTTATAGACCAGTTCAGATGCCACGTCTCCTATGAGGCAGCATAAGTTTCCTAGATCAAACCAAGGAAACTTTTGGAACAAAATTCTCTGTTTTCCAAAAACTCCATGGCCAGAACCAAGCAGTAAGTTCCATTTGTGTTTTGGTCATACCCAGAGAAGAATGTCTTAAAAGCACTAAGGAATTACGCACTTAGAGGATTATAAAGTTCTGAAAAGATCAAAAAAATCCTGAGGTTTTGAATATTGGGAATTCATGCTCTGAAGGCCTCAACCTGTCCACACTTGGGCAGCACTCAGTGATAGGGAAGGCATGTCCATAGAGAGAGATGGGAACAAAGGAATTCTCCTCTGACAGCACATTTGAACCCAACTCTTACAACACATTATCATGAGATTGGAAGATAGACTGGCTTGTGACCTGTCCTGTGGAAGAAGTGCTTTGTTACATGGAAAAATTAAATGTGAATTTACACAAATGGTATAGACGAAAGAAGAGGAAAATGACTTTTCATCCTCACAGTCCATCCTAGACCAATGCTATCTGGTATTCAGTCCCTGTTCCAAATAACATCCACATTTTGTTTCAAGATACGGCTGTTCTGGCTTGTAATAAAATGTGATTTCAAACCCAAGAAGTGTTGGACTGCACAGTGAATGTGCACTTAAAATTACTGCATTTGGGATGTGATCATTTTTAAGGAAGATAACATCTGTTTGAAAGCTGAAAAAGAATTGAGCTCATGAGTTTGCAGGAACTTATTAAATAACAGAAAACAGATTACACGGAAATTACAAGCATTATGAGAAATGGAGTCAAAGTTTGCTAACACTTCCACACTACAGAGAGTGCAAAGAATGTTTGCTAATACTTGTTGGATCAAGCTAGTGGTGGCGTGTCCCCACTGAAATAACAACCATGCAATTTATAAATAACATGAATTGCTATACCATTGCATCTTGTCCTTGCAGCTTTTCTTTTCTCCTAGGACAGTTTGCACCATATTTGAGGTTTCTTCCTCTCTAGTCATGGGGACCTATGACATTGATATGCATGGTGGTGAAGTGCACACTGTCTCCCAAACAAAAATAGCCAAGGTCTGGGATGGGCACTGCAGGATAAAAGCCTGCTGAGAACTTGTTGACTTTGGAGCATCAGCCCTGCTGGAGAACAACTTCAGCCCTGAGAGGGATTTCAGAAGTAATTTGAAGGGGACAAGTTGGCTTCAAGTACCAGGATGAACAGCATTAATGGAATGAACAGTCATTGAAGGTACAGGCCAAGCAGAAGAGTATGGGATAGGGAGAAGTGGTGAAGGGAGGAGTGCAAAAGGGAAAATTGATACAGTTAAGCCCACAAAATGAAAGGTTTGATAGCTGCCAGCCTAGAACATGCTTCAGTGCTGGGGAAGCTCATCATAGTCATGCAGTAGCGCAGCAATTCTTCATACTGTCTAATAAACTCTGTCAGCTGCATGAAGTGACCATGTCTACAGCTCTCGGATAAAATTAGACTATTTTCTCATCAGAAAATAAAAATACACATTGGATAAGAACAAACTGGAACTTATTTGTATTTATTTTAATTCATTAATGTTAGTTACTGTAGCATTCAAGGGATTTCCCACATAAAAATAGTAGAAAATGATAAAATAGATGTTAAAAACATATTTTCTTCCATTATGTACTTTTTACTGCTAAGATGTTCACTGACAGCATGTACAAATAAAGTAGCAGCAGTCACTGCTACTTTCATTCTCTCTCAAAGACAAGTTCTTCCTGCCTCTCTCCTCTGTCAAGATGACTGGCAAGACCCAGCCAGCAGATTCAACTTCTTCAATAATGCTGCCCTTAATGAGTTTGTTTACAGAAGTTCTAGTGGTATACTCTCACTGAGCACTTGTGGTATTACAGCTTCTGTTGGACAAATGCCTTATTGGGTTATATTTTAACTTTTTTGCAAAAGCTTTTGTACACCTAAGTATTTGTTACTCAGGTCATGCAGAGAAGCAGAAAACTTGCTTACTATGCTAATAATCTGAAAGTTAGATCTCTCCTAGATTCCATTTAAGTGCTGACTGCCACTGAGTAAGGATGTCTTTCTGGAGATTGCTCCTTGTGGAGTTTACTATGAGCCTACAACACTGGTGAGTATTTCTATTTATTTTGATTATCTTTCCACCACAGTAATCTTACTAAACCTAACTTCTGTATACCTGTTGGTTGTACACCTATTGATTGTACAATTGTATACCTATTGTTTGTACAAGTCCCAAGCAGATAATTTACAAGTTCTTCTGAAAGTGTGCTTTCTAATGTATTTTGAACTCCAGTTCTCCTGGTGAGAGTGTCTGCAAATAGCATTTATTGGAGTCTGAGTCCATCATCAGGTGGAGAAAAATCTTTTTTGTGGAACTGGGTCAGGACAAGGGTATGGAAGCCCACACTTCAGTCAGCAGAAGGTAAACATGTACTACATAACAGAAAAATACAGAGGCAACAGAAAAAAATCTTGAGCACCTGTGTGCAAGGGAGGAATAATTTTATCTCAAAGCCTTCCATCAATTTTTATGCGCTGATTTAGCTGATGGTGGATCTAAATCTCTTTCCTTGTCATACTTAATATTTATTTAAGGCAGAGCAATTTAGTTGTCCATCAAAACCAGACAGCAGTACTTAGGAGCTGCAGCACTTTTTTAATCTCTTCCCCAGCAAAATCAGTTTTGCTAAAAGAAGCTGTGACCAACAGTTCCATAATCAGTCCCCTACAGTTGTCAGCTTCTCTAATGCATAAATACGACCTAGCTATGCTGTCTCCCCAAGCCTTTAATCATCCCTTTTGACTCTGAGATCCTACTGCCCTGTCTATGACAATTGCAAATTGTGCTCTGTAACTTCCCTTGGCCATGTGCCTTATCAAGGGAAGGGGTGGTTACTAAACCTCATGTAGCTCCATGACCTTTCCGAAGCTACCAGCAAACTGCTCATGCAGCTGTCAGCTGGTTGGTTCGTGTCTGGCTAAATTTTTTATTATGTCAATAACAATCAGCATCTGTTGTGGGTCCCACACTACTGGGCAGATCTTCAGGTGTGCATTACAGCTCTAAGAGAGGGGGCTCTCACCTAGATAAGGCCAGGGAGCTTCCTTCTTCGTTGTTGCTCTGGTTTTGTTGTTTGTATGCATGAGAAGCGATGCCTCTTCTCACCACCTTGGACCAGACTTGACTAACATGGCTAATAGGAAAAGCTATCCAATGAAAGCTAAAAGTTCCTTGTAACTTAAAGTTTCTATTAAAAGGATTAAATTTTAATCCACAGTGAACTTGTTGTCTTACACTTTACTGAGTTATGTTTGAATTGATCTGTCATTTCCCTGGAGAGGAAAAGGTCTCAGGAAAGACTGCAAAGTGCTGACTGTGCTGCTTATCCTTTTTTCATCTTTGAAAACTCATAAAATTTTATGCAAGAAACTGTTGTATCTGCTCATCTGACTTATTGTATAGCACTCTTCACTGAATATTTGAGGATAAAGACTAAAATCAACTTTAGATAAAATGAATGGCACAGGGATAACCTGTAGAAACCTCAGGAGAACACTGCTGGCAAGACAGATGTGTTCTGAGCTTTCTGAAAGTAGGGAGGGTATAGAAAGGTTTCTGGGGCTTCCACAGGTAGCCTTCACTCTCCTGCACTGAATAACATCTTCCAGAAGCCAGCAACAGCATTGGAAAAAATGTCTCTGATCTCCAAGCAAGACAGCCAGTAAGGTCAGCCTTTTTTTTTTTTTTTTTTTTCCTGCTATGCCAGGGACATCCCAGGTGACTCCAGTCAGCACCCAGCAAACCACAACATTCACCATCCCAGAA